CGTTCTCAGTGACCCAGAATTAGTAACGTTTGACTACATTTATTTCAGAAGCATTTTGGCTGTAGAGCAGTGCTATTTGCTTGTATGATTAGAGTTTACATTCACATAAACTCTTCCATAACATTCAGTACGAAAGGTTACATTGCCTCAATTATAAAACTTATTTACAGAGTAATATTCTTTAACATAAAATTCTGTACAATTTTGACACTTGAAATTAACAATATAATGTTTAAAAGGGGTATACAGATTGACATTAATAAAATCTACTACATATTTCATGCCCACTGTAATGTTAACAATTATTCCTACTTTTACCTGGTGAGGGAGATCAGAATTTATATACGAACACTTTGAGGGCTCTAATATTACTGTTTCATTAGAACAACTTTACAGAAAGTCATCATTAAATTGCCATACACACCAATTGGCAAACTTTTGCAGCAGAGAAAGCTGCTCTCCTCAGTTATCATAAAAGGTTGCTTCATGAGGCTCGTCATTTGTTGTGAAGGTCATTAAAGACTTGTTTCTTCCCTCCACACCAAATAACAGTATCCACTTTCCTTATAAGCATATACTGTGATCACCTGAACAATAGGTTGGGTAGCACAAAATCTATACCCTGCACTACCTCATCCCCTGGGTGGCTTCGGCTTTCACTGCCTTTACAATAATAGTGTTCATTATTTTTAACGATGAGAGAATGGGTTATACAAATGAATGCACTTAAATAAAGTATTAAAATCATGATGTGACGAAATTCCTGGAAGGAAAGGAAAGCAGAGAAAAAGAAAAATTACTACTAACATTTAAGTAACAAATCCTTTCCAGTCTTTCAGTTGCAAAGAGTGAAACCATTTTTGGGTTCCTTTTCTCTTCCCCTTTATTTCTACTTGATAAGTTGTAGGGCTTGCCTTGTTTGTTATTATGACTGTGTTACCTGCACAAAATTCTCTGTCACTTGCACATTCTAGGGCACCTATCTAGTTCCTAGGGCTCAAGGCGTAACCCTCTTAATTTAGGCACTCTAACTTTACCCCTCCATGGGCTCTAGGCTCTACTCCTCCAGGCTCTGGGTAAACACCCATTCCCTCTGGACTTAGGACTTAATATTTTGCGGATTTATGGGGTCTTTTATTAGTGAAAGAGCCTACTTAATATCCTACTTAACCTCTATTTATTAACAATCACCAAAACAGAATGCACATGCTAAGCATACAATGCTCACCACTCCCAATAAGACAGATGAACTCTTCTTGATGGTCAGTCAGTATCAGGTCATCTGAGGGACTCCAGTTTCTGCACAGTGTAAGTGGCATAGTGTTGAGGTCTGGCAGCTCTGTTCTTGAGGCTGTGTGCTGGAGTTAGTGCCCAAAGAACTTCCTTTTGGACCCCAGTTTATATAGTGAAACTTGAGTCCTGCTTAGCTATACTTTTAGTTTAACCAATCATGATACTAAAATTTTGCTAACTAATCCTGACATATTGTAACAAAATTCTCTAACCAATCCTACCCTACCACCTTAATTAATTTGCTAAATTAATTATGTAACAGACAGAAACAATCAAAGAACCAGACAGAGATCATACAAACAATAGGAAAGTGGGGACCATAAAGATAAAACCATAAAGAAATGAGGATTTTACAACTACAGCTATTGATAAGTGATTTTTGCCAGACAGGAGGCTATGAAACTAAGTTTTCTTTAACCATCTTAAGATCTGTTTCTTTATCTGGTGCTAGTGGGGGCTATTAGGACGGGTCTCCTTCTTAACAGCCTGATATTACATTGTTTTAATGTAACTGAGATGGAATGTGACTTTCTGCTTCTTAGCTAATGCCTGCTGCTCTCTTAATATGGCTGCAGACAAAGGCCGTAGGCTTTAGGCCTTACAATATAGCTACAGGAAAAGGCCTTATCCTTAGAACTGGTCCTACCCATTTGGGTCTTAAAGAATGGTTCTTATCTGAGTAGAAGCGATAAAAAAATTTGTCACCTACATTCCATTCCTTGCATTTTAACACATCACCCAGTCTTTTATCCATCTGTCTAGCATTACTTTTCAATTGCACTGACCTGTTTTTGAACAGCGCTGATAGTATTCAACAGCTTATTTATAAACTGATCTATTTTAATTCTGAGTTGATACTCCTCTGGAGATATCCCTCCTAGCCACCCCTGTTTGGGCGTTTTTATCATTCTGCCCGTTATGACCTCGTGAGGAGTGTACCCATGGGACACAATTGTTGATCTTATGGCCATTTGTCCTAATGGCCATAATCTTTTGTCCCAGTCTTTTCCTGAACTTGCAACAATCTTGCGTGAAGCAGTCTTTAATGTCCGATTTGTTCACTCGACCAAACCCGAGCTTTGCGGGGGTCCTGCAATATGGATTTTCTGTTTTATAATAAATGCTTGGCACAACACTTTACTATCTCTCCTACAAAATGGGGTCCTTGGTCCAAGTCTAATACCTCCAGAAGACCAAATCTAGAGAAGGTTTGTTCCAAAAGGATTTTTGCTGTAGTGCTAGCTGTGTTGTTTCATGTAGGATATGCCTCTATCCATTTCGAGAAGGAGTCGGTTATTACTAAGCAGTATCTGTTTCCATATCCTGAGCATATATATACATATATCTATAATATAGTCTTTTGTCTGGTGAAAAAAATTCCCTGGAACCTAACCCCCTCATTTACATTACTTCTTATGGGGAAATTGGATTCGCTTAACATTGTTTTGCTTAAAGTCACATTTTTCAGGAACATAATTACAACGTTAAGTATAACTACAACTACTGTACTCTGTTGTTCTGCAATAAGAATACTTAATCCTTTCTCAGTTGTCACTAGTTGAAGCTGGAAGGGTTTGTTAGGCTGAAGGTAGACCAACACCAGAGTCTTTGCAAGCACCTGACAGAATGCATCTCTCTGTTTTTTGCCCCAAGTCCATTCTTGGCTCTTCTTTCACAGTATATAAAGAGGTTGTGCAATCTCTGAGTAACCCTCAATAAAACCTTGGGAGAATCCTGTAAGGCCCAAGAAAGACCTTAACGCTGACACGTTTTGCGGGGCTGGCAGTTTACAAATTAATTCAACTCCTTGTGCATCAGGCCTGTGCCTGTGTATGCCCAGCTCCATGCCAAGATAAATAACTTTTTGTTGTATCATTTGGGCTTTTGTCAGACTGATCACAATTCCAGTTTCTTGTATCTTGCACTGAACAGCATCTAGAATTTTGAGATTCTCTTCCTTGGTTACAGTGGCAATTAATATGTCGTCTACATAACTGATGACCTTTTCTTTTTCCTTTATATGAGTCCACATCCTAATCACAAACCTGTAACACAACGAAGGGCCATTATGGCATCATAGAATCATCATAGAATAATAGAATATCAGGGTTGGAAGGGACCGCAGGAGGTCATCTAATCCAACCCCCTGCTCAAAGCAGGACCAATTCCCAACTAAATCATCCCAGCCAGAGTTTTGTCAAGGGCTTTAAAAACCTCCAAGGAAGGAGATTCCACCACCTCCCTAGGTAACACATTCCAGTGCTTCACCACCCTCCTAGTGAAATAGTGTTTCCTAATATCCAACCTAGACCTCCCCCACTGCAACTTGAGACCATTGTTCCTTGTTCTGTCATCTGCCACCACCGAGAACAGCCGAGCTCCATCCTCTTTGGAACCCCCCTTCAGGTAGTTGAAAGCAGCTATCAAATCCCCCCTCATTCTTCTCTTCTGGAGACTAAACAATCCCAATTCCCTAAGCCTCTCCTCATAAGTCATGTGCTCCAGACCCCTAATCATTTTTGTTGCCCTCCGCTGGACTCTTTCCAATTTTTCCACATCCTTCTTATAGTGTGGGGCCCAAAACTGGACACAGTACTCCAGATGAGGCCTCACCAATGTCGAATAAAGGGGAATGATCACATTCCTCGATCTGCTGGCAATGCCCCTACTTATACAGCCCAAAATGCCGTTAGCCTTCTTGGCAACAAGAGCACACTGTTGACTCATATCTAGCTTCTCGTCCACTGTGACCCCCTAGGTCCTCTTCTGCAGAACTGCTACCTAGCCATTCGGTCCCTAGTCTGTAGCAGTGCATAGGATTCTTCCGTCCTAAGTGCAGGACATTGCACTTGTCCTTGTTGAACCTCATCAGGTTTTTTTTTGCCCAATCCTCTAATTTGTCTAGGTCCCTCTGTATCCGATCCCTCCCTCCAGTGTATCTACCACGCCTCCCAGTTTAGTGTCATCTGCAAACTTGCTGAGAGTGCAGTCCACACCATCCTCCAGATCATTAATAAAGATATTAAACAAAACCTGCCCCAGGACCGACCCTTGGGGCACTCCGCTTGAAACCGGCTGCCAACTAGACATGGAGCCATTGATCACTACCCATTGAGCCCAACGATCTAGCCAGGTTTCTATCCACCTTACAGTCCATTCATCCAGCCCATACTACTTTAACTTGATGGCAAGAATA